GAAAGGTAACCAGGAAATAGCTCATCCCTTGCCACCTCAATGTTGTGATTTTCTAGCAAGAAAATCCAGGCTAATAAACACTAGGAAGACAGTGTCCAAGAACAACTAGCCTGTATATTTAATTAAAACGAGTACCACCTTTAGCTGTTTATTATTCCACAGAACATACTGATGTAGATGTGAAATGGTTCTAAGCTCTACTGAGCTTATTCTGTTCCTCTTTCCCTCTCGTCCTCTCTTTTCTCTTCCTTTCCTTGTTTCTTTTCTTCCTTCATTATTAACTGACACCGGACATTCAAAGATGGCTAAGTTATGTCCTGCCTCTTGAGAGTTTGCACTTATGTGAGGAATAGGTAAGTAGACAGCACAACAGAGTTCATATTAGGATAAAGGCCATTGAAAGACCTATGGGAACAGTGGGAAGTTTAATTTACAGAATCCACAGAAGGTTCCCTGGGACATATATTGTTATGCTTAATTCAGAGGGACAGGGCAGAATAAACTTAGGTAAGAAGAACGGTTATCATGGATGTCATTCTGGGTGGATCTCTTGAGACTGACTGTTGTGGTAAAGAAGAAAACTCCTCCAGTCTTTGAAACAAGTTCAGTTTCTAAATCTAAATCCATCAGTGACTAAGCATGTGGAAAATCATTTACTTCTTAATACTTCTGGTGTTTCATAACCTGAAATATAAAGAAAATAAAAACAAAAAGCTTCGAGATAAAAGTAGACTGTTGAGTATGGGCTCAATTATAATATATATCTTGTACTAAATAAAACAGTGTAACTGTTACAAAAGTGACCAAGAGGTGACTACTTTGGCATTGGAGAAAATTATTTATCATTATTTTGGAGTCTTTTAAAAACCATTTTGCTTTCATGATATTTATTTCTGACAAAGAGAAGTGCTATGGATTTTGCCTGAAAATGAACTGACTTTGTGGGACTCTTTAAAAAAATGTATAGGGGATTTGCTTGTGACAAAGGGCATTTAATTATAAGTATGTTGAGTCCAGAAATGTAACTGGGTCTGAATCAGTTTTATTTTCAATTTTTATATTGTAAACATTCTATCTCTACCTACATCCATACAGGATGATGTGTGCCCTCTGTACTATAGTGCTGTTAAAGTATACTAACAGAAAACAATTGAAAGTAAATAGGAAATGCATCACAATGGGCTAATGAAATCCTAATGCACTCCTGGTCTGGCCTGGATATCTAATATACTATGTAGTTTTAGCTTAGTTTACAGTCAGCCATTCCCTCTGACAGTTCACTAGCCATGGAACTACAAACTTTCAGTGTTTACTATTGTGCAAGTCTCAGGAAAGGGGAAAGAGTGTGGGAATAGGAAATTCCAGTGAAGAGATTGATGCTCCCACATGAAGCAAATAGAAGACACAAGAAGAGATGGAGCATAGGGGATTCACCTCTGTGTTGTAGGGTTTTGTAGAGCAAAGTAGTTGTGGGAAGCCTATGCAATGGAGATATATATGTCTCTTAGCTCTGACTCAACAGCTAAAGAAGATGCTGGGGAAGGTGACGGAGTCACCCATCCTGATCTCAGGCCCTAATTTTCCTCATACAGGACCAGAGGCAGCCTTTTGTTGTGATAAACTTATTTAGAAAGGTATGGATTAGAGTATTAGTTTAGGAGTTGGAGAAAATCAATATAGAAAGAAGTTTCAAGAGTAGGCTACAATGCTTGATAAGAAATGTACTCATTATCTTGCCCATGTAATTGTAACCCCTCTGTACAGTATTTTCACAATAAAAAAAAATAAAAGATTATCTAGTTGGATTACCTTGAGGTGTGTTGATTACATTGAAACTCCTGATGTTACCAGTAGGTGGTCTTGGAAATGATGTTCCCTAATTCTTGGTACCTCCATCATAGAAATAAAATGAAGGCACACACTACAGTGAAGTGGCAAAGCAAAGAGTTTGACCGGATGAGAAAGTACACTGTTAAGGGAAATGGAGGTCTGTGCTTGGTAGCTCAAGAGCAAACGTGGTTAAGAAAAGGTCAGCTTTCCAGGGTTCAGGGAGTGGGGAAGAGTTCATAGTAATGATAGTTGGCTGACCTTAGGAAAATGAGAAAAAATGACTGGACAGATTTGGGGAAGGAATCTATGCATATACATGGTTTCCATGTATATGTATGAGATATAAACTATATACATGGAGTAGGAGTTAGTTGAACAAATATCAAGCTGAGGACACAAGTGGTTCCACTGCACGTGTGTCACTTTCATTAGCGAGTTTGGCTGCCCCTAGGGAGAAGTTATAACCATAAACTGACTACTTATTACCTGCAAGGGGGAGTGGCCATGTGGGAGGTACTGGGGAGGAGATTGAATTCATGGGTGCCTCCTAAGGCATGAGAAGGAGAAGGGATTGCTTTTAGCAATTTTTATCTATAGCTAACCTCCCTCACTAAGTTAGTTGTATAACTGCTGAAGAACTAGGTGAATTATTTCTACCAAGTAGGAGGAATCATCAGAACACTTTGACAGAAGATCTCTGTTGAGAATACTGGTATCTCAGAGGGATGTTGCCTAGTCGATATTAACAACAGTGGATAAAATGGAAACAATATCTAATATGGAAAATTATGCAAATACTATGCAATTAGGTATGAATCATCCAAGTAGTAAAAGGGTTGAAATAGCCTTGAAAGATGACACTTACATATCATGCTTGGCTCATCATTATCATGTGTTGATTTACTTTATTGAGGTAAGTTAAATATTAAAACACCAAATTTATAGAATTAAGTAGTCAGGAAAATTAGGATTCATTGAAGAAAGCTTTTTCTATTGGGTGATGGTACTGGGTGATGGCCTTATAGACGCAGACTTCTTTTCTGTTTGTTTTTTTTCTGAGATTGCTTTACAAGATTAAAAATGACTATTTTTAAGTCGTTGTACAAAGAAGTCACCATTTATCAAAGCAATTTATGAATACAATGCATCTTGGTCAGTGTTACCCTTTTCAACATTTTCACCCATTATTTTCTCTACCCTATCCCTCACTCTAATCCATTTTATAAGCTATACATTAAATATTTGACTGCCTTCTCTCCTTTTCTCCCATTCTTGGAAAACTTATTCCACAACTACATATTCTGAGATTCCAAGGAAAGCAATTCTTTTTTATTTTAAGTTTCATACAAACAAACAAAATGAAAAGGAAAGAAAAAAAAGTCAAGGGCTGGGAAGGTGGCTCAATGGTAAAGCGCTTGCCTTGCATGCATGAGTCCCTGGATTCCATTCCTCAGCACCACATAAGCAAAAAGAAAAAAGCCGGAAGTGGCGCTGTGGCTCAAGTGGTAGAGTGCTAGCCTTGAGCTGAAGAGCTGAGGGACAGCGCCCAGGCCCAGAGTACAGGACCCACGACCGGACCCAAAAAAAAAAAAAAAAAAGTCAAGCCCTTGAGTAAGTACTAGCATTGCTAGCCATGGACACTTTGGTTTCCCATAGCCTGATGTCTTTCTGTTATTGTCAGCTTCGGAAACTGTGGGGTTGAGAAAGGTTAGGCAGATGTTTCTGAAGCATAAGAAACTATAAGGGGTTAAGACAGAATCACCTTCATGCTTCTTAGCCAAAAAATGAGTAAGTGTACTTTTCTCTCAAATGTCAATCAGTTTATCACATTGTCCACTGGCTGTAATGTTTTCTGTCTCTCTTATGCAGGGACCTTAGTGATACAAGGACAAATGACCCCCCCCCCAGAGTCATTTGTGATATGCATTAGGCCTTTGTTCTACTCAGCTCAACTATGTCAACCAACTGTGTTGGGGAGAGGGTTAAATGTGAACACATGTCTGAGATAAAGAAATCACTCAGTAATTGGTGGTTCTCTGTATCCATTTTCTCATATAAAATGACTTTCAATTAAAAAAAATATGATCCATAGTACTCATTCTGCATTGTGATATAATATTTTCTCTGTCTTCCTCCCTTCTCCCCTTCCTCTATCTCTTTCCACACTTCAAACACAGATATACTTCTTGTCCTTAATATGTCTCTGTGGACTCTCATATTTCCCTTTCAATCCTATCTCATTTTGTAAGAAATGCTGATTGAGACCCAGTAAATTGATTTGTAAATTGACCTTGAATGGAGAGTGAAAAGCTGTTTGAAAAATACTCTCTGAGTGAAATATGAATGTCCCAGTGGGCCATGAAGAGTTAAATGTTAAGTGTGCCTTGACCACACCAGACTCCAACCAGAGGCATTGCCTGTCAGTGGTGAGAACTGGAGTGGTCTCCTGCTCTTCCTTGTCTAAAGGCAAGAAAGCCATAGCATGGGGAGAGAGCCCAGAGGAAGGGAGAGGAGTTAAATTGTCTTTCTCTTACTCAATTTCTCACATCCAAATGTAAAATGAAAATATACAGAGGGGTGACAAGTAAAACATATATTTATTTTTGGACAGTGCCACCCCTTCCTTTGCTCTCTCCCACTTTTTGTTTCTTGTTCCCACCCACAAGTTGTATAGTTCATTTTCAACATAGTAGCTAATGAGTACCACTGCTGCATTTGACTACCTGTTCTCCCTCCATTTCTGTCCCTCCCCCCTCTTAAGGGGGAACAGAATAAGAAAAGAAAAAAAAATAAAAAGAAAAGAAAAGAAAAGCAACAATAAAGTAAAAACCCCTGGTTTATATTTTATGGAGTTCATTTTGATAGATATTATTTTATAGGACCAGAGGCCCATAGGCATTGCTCCTGTGTTTGCCCCCCCCAAGAATATCTTCCTTTGATCTCACTGTGTCTCTCACTCTCTTTTCATTCTTCTTTAATTTTTCTCCTATATTCAAGATTTTCTATTTAGAGCCAGATGAACATATATACATTAAAATATTTAATGATCAATGAGTTGAGACCTTACTCCCTAGAAAACTGAAGTGACTAATTGCAGGACAATCTGATCCTAACTTTGCATATTGTAGCTATTATTCTTAATTGTAATTTTTAACTTCTTTTTCTTCAAGGAAGTTTACAGGTTCGCTATCAGCTAGGCAAAGAAGAATCCTATGTATTCACCATCGATGCGGAGAACTTTGCCAACAGAAGAATGCATCATGTGAAGATCAGCCGGGAGGGTAGAGAGCTTACTATTCAGGTACTGCACCACAATCTTTGCACAGCAAATGCACCACAGGTGCTCCATGAAACTCAGTTCTGAGTTATGGACCCATGCCACTTGGAGTGTCCAAGCATGGAACCAACTGAAAGAGTGCATGAAATAGAATGTGCTCTCCACCTCTCCCTAGCATCATCATTAATGGGTACCTTGTTAGAGAGAGAAATTCTTTTATTTCTATTCAGAGCACTGTATGACCAGAGCTATGCCTCCAGTTTGGGCTTTGTGCTGTTTTTTTATTAGAGATAGGAGTCTAGTAGATTTATCTGCTCTTCCTGGAAAGTCTGATTCTCAGACCTCAGCCTCCTGAATAGCTATGCTTACAGGCATGAGCCACCTGTGTCCAGGCAGGAATACAAAATCTTGTGCCACATATCCAGTCTACTTAACCAGAAACAGTTGGATAGGAGGAAGTAGCAGGTTATTTTCACTTCTGCTCAAGTCTGAAAACCTCCTAACAGTATTTCAGTGACAAAGGGAGTCAGGTGAAGAGGAAATCATAATACATAATAGAGTGTAGCAAAGGTTGCCAAGGAACTGGATTTTGTGAGAAGGGAGGACACCAGTCATATTGGATGCTGGTTAATATTTTCTTCAAGAAGGAACAATTTATGTCTTGAAGATGAGTAGGATTTAGCTAGACAAACAGAGAGGTGTGGGGGAAGAGGGCACTCAGGAAAAGGGTTCAGAAAGCACAATGTCTAGTAGGCACTCCACAGAGTTTCAGTGGTCTCAGTATAAAGAACAGATGGCAGATAAGGACAGGAGTTGAGACAGACTCGAGACGTCCCCTTTCGATCATAGCCTGCAAACTAGCATCTGCCTAGCAGTCACATTATTGTTTAATCCGTTCTCTGTTCTCATACTGATGTATGAGAGTGATCTCTTTCTTTATGCCAGTCAAAATTACAATCGAATAGGTACTCCTACAAGATTCCTTCTTTTGTGAAAGTGTAGTTTTCACAAGAGATAACTGTGCACTCTGAGCAGAATAGTCTTAGGTCCATATACCTGTATCCATGGCCTCTCTCTCTCCCTCCCCCTCCTCATTAGCAATGGGTCAGAACTCATATCCTCACAAGTATCACTCCAGCTCCTGTCTTACCACTTCTTATTTACTGCACCAATTTATTAGGTTCTACTCAGCACAAAACAAATAATTATTAAATGCATTAAAAATAAGAAAAATAAAAGAAAGCATAAGAATCTTTCAGGATCAAGGGAAGAAATCTCTCTCCAGACTTCAGTGGCTGACTTACATTCTCATCTTATTGTCTTAATTGTTAGATGTGTTGCCCATACACTTGGTACACAAATTACTCCCTTTTCTTTACACTTACACTAATAATATTTTCCCTTGTGTTGTACCAAAATACTACTTCTGAAGATACAGATGGCCTTTTACAGAACTCCGTGGTAATATCTTAGCCTTATCCTTACTTAGTTAGCTCATTGTCAATTGGTAAAGCAATTGCTCTGCTCCTGGGATTTGATGGCTGGTCTTGGGTTGCAAGATTCCAATTATATCAGCCTCTGTTAATTGTTCATTCTTATCTTCATGGCTCATCTTTCAGCTTACCAAAGTCTACCCCCTGGGGCACATGAGGACACTCCAGTGGTTTCCTTTGGTTTTGTGGCTTTACTTACTTCATGGATTATCTCATTTAATCTTATATTTTAAGTGAAGAACCAATCTCAGTGCAGTCCTATTCTGACAGGTTGCAACTTGACTTCTTGACCTCAACTTGAGCTTCTCATTATCCTTTATAGTTTCATTGCTTCTCCTAGCATTTACTATTACCTAACATACAAGAGGATCTGTTTTATTCACTTCCTATTCTGTCTCTCCCCTTAAGAATATGTTATATAACAATGGGGACATTGTTTGCTTTCATTTTTAAAATACCTACATGTTTCAAAGGAGTATCTTACATACAATAAGTACTCAGTGAATATTTGTGAATGAAATGGAGAATTTCACAGGGTTCAAAATACTACGTAAAGAAAATTGAAATGATTTTGAGGAGAGACAGGAAGAAATACCACTAGATTTTTTGACATGTAGGTCACATGATTGATTTTCATTTTTAAGGATTCCTGAGATCACTTCATGGACAGACATATTTGGAAGTGAAAAGACTCAAGGCAGAGAGTAGTGAGGAAGATGCAGTGGGGTAAAGTAGAGCCTCAGCTCCTGCTACGTGAGGAGCCATTGAGAGAAGTCATAGACCATTCCAATATCAAATATATGACCCAAAGAATCCCTGAGACATTAAGAGGAAAGCCTTTTGAAGAAATCTTGTTTGGGCCAAACTGCAAGGAAAGTTAATGTCTTATCCATATGTTTTGACTGAGATCCTGGTAGGAAAAGTGGGGTGATTCTAGTGAGTATTTTACATATAACTCCTCTTTCCTCTTTCTTCATGCTTCCTGTCTTCTTTTCTACAACTAAAACCTACAAATGGCACATGGAGAGTGCAATAAGATGGATTTCTTTCCCTTCTCCATCTAAATAATTTCCCCCAATCAATTTACAGTCTGTGATAACCTATTGGGTGAGCGCATACTATTTGGAAAGTGCTGAGAGAGCAGAAAGAAGGAAGGGAAAAACCTTTTGTGTTTTAACTTTGATCCCATTTACTGGCAGGGGAATATAGCACATTTGTCTCCCTGACACTCACATCCCATTTACCCAATCTGGATCTCTTTTTCTTTCTCCCCCAAAACAAGCTCCTCAGTGCAACCAGAAAAAAACAGCAGCTCTACCTTAGAACTGAAGAGAATACCTTGGGAACTACCCATTCCTGTTAGAGAGAGGGCAGGTGGTTCTCATCTTATTCAGCCAGTCAAAATCTCTGTTCAGACTAGATTCCCCAATAACCCAGTCCTAAGTTGTTACTCTTATCCCCTCTGTTTATGTCGCCTCAGAAATCTGGAGATCTTGGGATCCAAAACAAGCAAGAAACCCTAGAAATTAGCTAGTAAATTTTAAGGTTTGGAGGGTCTGGAAGTTCCTCCAAGCCCTGGTGGTGGAGGCAAAATTCAATATCATTATTTAAAACACACTGATAACATAGCACAAATTGAGATAGTATAATCAAATATCTACACAACATTAAGCTATAAATGATAATGAAGAGCTGTCTTTGAAACCAACTGGATAATTCCTTTCTCTGAGAGATGAAGCTGACTGATTGAAAGTCATCCTTAGAGAATCAGGCTCAAGTGGCAGTTCTTGCTTTGCTATTTGTGCTATGTGCTCTTAGATGAGTTATTCATCTTGGAGACCTTGACTCTACTTTCATATTACATCTACATTCCTATCTATACATGTGTTTATACACATGTGTGACACATTTATGTGTATGTACAGATAAACACACATATATACATGCATAAATTTGCATGAACAAGGATGAATAAAGTAAAATATATTCTAAATAACCATACTAAGGACCAAGCCCAAAGCCTAAATATGTGTGTGTGTTTATTTTATTTCTTTGCCCTTTCCATTTAATAGCTTGTCAAGGTCACTGAATTTTCTAGGTTCTGAGAGTAGCAACAATTATGTAGGTTCTGAGGCCAGCAAAGCTTGTCTAGGACAGTGGGCAAGCTTCAGCCATCCAAAGGGTATAAAGGGCTATAGTGCTTTCATCCTTAATAACTCACACCTTAGGAGAACTGGTAAGAAAATAGGCTTAAAAAAGTGTGATAAAACTCTGCATTTCCCACTAGCTGGAAATTATTCCCTGAGCCATTTATCAGCCGTTTTAAGAATCCTTTGAGTCATTCTACCTTCTTCTCCTAATCTTGGGAAAGACAAATTCTTCTAAAAGCTTCTTTGGCTGAGTTCACTTACTCCTTGCTCTTTCATTAATCATCTGGTTTACATTATAAGCAGCAGTAAGTTCTCACAAAAAGACATGAGTTGCATACACGAGCAATTAGCTCTCCTATGCATGACTTGTGAACAGAGGTGTGTCAGGGGCCAGTGAATTTCTGACCCTAAGCATCTTGGTAGGAGGTGAGGACCAGAAGCCAGAGCAGTCTCTGCTCAACCTCTACTTCTAAAAATCCTTCAGCTGCTCTTTTCTTTGCTTTACATTAGCTCTACTTCCAGGAGCCTGGGAAGCAAAGCATCATGGGAAGCCTCCAGACCCTACTGGAAGGGGCACTCCCAAAGACAGAATAGGAGCCAAGTTAGGCACAGGAAGAGAACCCTTGAAGACAAGGACTAAATCTGGAGCTATGAGGAAATGATGAGTAGAACCCAGGGTGCCAAAGACCGAATTGGCATCCACAAGAAACATCCTGGTGACTCTGTCATCACAAGCCCTACAGATAAAAAGAGAACAAGGATAAAATATTTATGTGGCAAAATTTGCCAGTTGTTCTCATAGGCCTTAAAAAAATATGTGGCTTTATGCGATCTGGAACCTCAAAGAACTAATATTAGTAAAGGGAGGGTAGAGGGAAAGAGAGAGGGGGAAAGGGGAGAGAGAGAAAGATCACTATTATAAGGTAGCATTAATAATGTAAGCTTGGAGATAACAGCCATGACTAGAATGGAGAAGGCCAGCTAACCTGACAAAGCTATCAATTTCAGAGGTGGCATCGGGGAATCCTTGAAAGAGCCTCACACATTGGACACTCAATGTTTTAAGGTATACTCTAGAAACGTAGAAATAAAATGATACCATTTTCTCAACAAGATATTCACATATATAGGGAGGAATAACAAATAGATAAGATGTCCTGTGATGCGTGAGCCACTTGACTATGGGACACACAGTTCTTGTGATTATGTATGGATTTGACAAAGTTATTGTCTCCATGACATCTATTATGAAATAATCCATCTATATCTTTGGGATGTTATACCTGTTTCATGATATTCTAGGGAGAAATAGATTTGGAAATATGCTTTAGCATCATGTCCCACGCATGTGATTGTCCAATATTGTTACAAGGTAATTTAATTCACAAAAGAGTAACATAGCCTTTAATTGTGTGCCATAGGTCACAGCCTATGACTTCAGTTATAGCAGAAACTACCAAAAGGCTAGGAGGTCCATAATGAAGAGGCAGGAAAAAGATGAGAGGTGTAGGTTTGCTGCTTCATTTCAATCACTGCAAATGTCTGGGATCCTTTCAAAGGATAACATCATATGCATATTTAGAGGAGAGCTTGAAAGAGACCAACTAGATCTGACTAGAAGGGGGAGAAAATCAAAGTGGGGAGGGACAGGGAGCACTGCTCAGAGAGCTTCAGAGAAGCAAACAAGTAGAGCTTGCAGTGGACGAGGCAAGGGAGGATCACTAAGGGTGAGCCCTAGAAATCCTGGAAGATTCCAGCAGACCCTCAAAGTCTTCTGATCCTAGGGCTGTCAATGGCAACTGTTCACATAGCCTATCTGCTCTCTGTTCTACATCCAAATATCTATCAAAATGCAATTTATTGCTATTTAATTCTACTTAGGCTCTAAAGAAAAATAACCAAAGCACTGTAAATTTGGGTCTTGGTTTGAGCTGCTGAAATCTTGTTCGGGCTATTAATGTGAGATTCCAAAGACAGAGACACAAAGGAACAAAATGTGCCCTTAAGTAAGTTATTAACTTCTTAAACCAAAGGAAAATAACAAATTCTAAGTGACTATTTTGTCTTATTTATATGTGCTCATATGAAACATGGAAACTTAAATAATAATTTTAATAAAACTAATTTCTAGTTCTGAAAAAAATAAAATAAAAAATGAAATTTAATTCTTAAAAAAAATTGGTGCTGGTCCTGGGGCTTGAACTCAGCACCTGGGCACTGTCTCTGAGCTTCTGTGCTCAACACTGGTACTCTACAACCTGGGGCACAACTTTACTTTTAACAATGACTCCTCCTCCTCCTCTTTCTCTTCCTCCTCCTCCTCTTCCTCCCCCTCCTCCACTTTCTCTTCTCTCTCCTCCTTTTCTCCTTCCCCTCCTCCCTCTCCTTCTCTTCCTCCACTTCCTCCCCCTCATTCTTCTCTCCCTCCTCCTTCTTCTCCTCCTCCTCCATTGTGATTAATTGTAGAGATAAGAGTCTCACAGACTTTTTTGCTGTAAATTGGCCTCAAACCATGATCCTCAGATCTCAGCCTCCTGAGTAGCTAGGATCACAAGTGTGAGCCACTGGTACCCCTCAGTCTATTCCAGAGTAAAGCCAGGTGGCAATGTTAAGTGGAATACATTGGTGACCCTAAACATCACAGGGTGGGGAGCAGGTAGGAGCAGAGAGAACAGAGAGAAACAAGGAGGAGCAGGGAATGAGTTCCTTTTTAATATGAATCCTGCCCAGCAAATTCTGAGTAGGTTTTTGTTTACTTGGTTATAGAAAAGGATTGGTGAGAAAAATCTCAGTGGGGTGTAAAGCACCTGTGAGGATTTTTTTTTCTGGGCAAACATACCTGTGAACATATCCATTTCACAATGAACAAAGGAGTGAGTATTTTTGGTATATTGTGGGAGACCTCAGGACATTTTTGATCTCTCTCTTAGGAGATACTCCAGAAGAGGGTCTGCTCCATGTGCTTTATCAGGCTGTTTCCCAGTAGAATTTTCTTTCTTTCTTTTGATTTCCTCTCCATTGATGTCCCTTTGTTTCTATCTTCCCACAGATGGACCAGCAATTTCGACTCAGTTACAACTTCTCCCCTGAAGCTGAATTCAGGCCAGTAAGGTCACTTACCCTGGGTAAAATCACAGGTCTGTTCATTCTATTCTATACATTTCTGGTGCACTTCATTAAAAGTAATAAGTAAATCATTGTCATTGGGCTCTTGAGTGATTGAGATCATGCTCTCATGATATCCTTGATCTAGATTCAAGATATATGATGTAGGATATGTTTAAAATGTATGTGTGGCAAGGCTAGAGACTGGCTCATATTATTAATTTCAGAAAGATAAAACACTAGAGTAATTACATAAAATAATATTTGAATTTAAATTTTACATGAATCGTTTTTTAATAACTTACATTTTTGCTTAATTTACTTAACTTTTACTAAAATGAAATAGAGAAATTGAACAATTGTCAGAGTCACCAGTGGCTCACACCTGCAATCCTAGCTACTCAAGAGGTTGATGGCAGTTCAAATCATGCTCAGGCAGGATAGTCTGAAACACTATCTCTAGTAAATTACCAAAAACACTGGAAGTGGAGTTGTGGGTCAAGTGGTAGAGCCCTAGCCTGAGCAAAAGAAGCTCAGAGACTGTGCCCAGGCCACAGGACCAGCAAAAAAAAAATGAAAATTTTTATAATAGTTTTGTTTTTCTACTGAAAATTGCTTTGAATTTCCATTTTCTGTAAGAGGGTATTTACTAAGTTCATACAAGATTGAGATTTTCATATCCTTGTGATGATTTGAACATTTTATCACCTTTATATTACCTCTTTAATTATCTTTTTGAGCTTATATCTGCTTTTCCTATTATTAATAACAGAGATTAAAATTTTGCTTTGGTTAGAATTTGGCTTGTCTATTCTCTTCTCATCCTTTTAATTCTTTTTTCTTTAAGCCTTTTCTATAATCCTATGAAGGAGAGCTGAAGTTAGTTTTTATACCTAATCTGTTCATCTCTGTTTTTCAATTCATCAAGATCCTTTCATAATTCAAGATTACTTACAGAGTTGGACATATATCTGCCTGGTTTCTTATTGGTCTGACTTTTCCTATGAACCTAACAACATCCAGTTACTCTGTCAGCCCCAGTGTAGAGTAGCAAACAGTGGTAACACAGGGCAATTCAAGCAGGAATTAATATTAAGACAAAACACTAGTTTCTTTTGTTGTAGTACTAAATAGGGAATCTTTTTAGAGTTTCATGGGTAACTCACCAGAAATTCTGACCAAATCCTTGGGAAATATTGATTACTTTCTGGTGGTAGATAAAACACTAAACCACTGTGGCCCCAGTACAGATAGAATATCAACTTACAAGAGATGGGAGAAGGTTAGTAAAAAAATGGCTGCAGAGAGTGATTCATGGTACCAAGACTGAACATGACTGAACATAACTGGAGTTCAGAAAGGCAATTGTACTCACTCTAAAATGTCAATTTCCATTTCCAAAATGAAAGTTTAATGAACCAATTGATAGTAATGATTTTGGGGTTGATTTATTTCTTTGTTTTTAAGGTACAAATTTACTTATCCAGATTTTTCTTATGTGTTAAGTGATTATTTTTCTTTTTTCCTTTTTTTTTTTTTTTTTGGTCAGTCATGGGGCTTGATTTCTGGGCCTGGACGTTGTCCATCAGCTATTCAGCTCAAGCCTAGCATTCTACCACTTGAGCTACAGCACCACTTCCGGTTTTCTGGTGGTTCATTGGAGATAGGAGTCTCACAGTCTTTCCTACCTGGGTTGGCTTTTTACCATGATCCTCATATCTCAGCCTCCTGAGTTGCTAGGATTACAGGCATGGGCCACCGGTGTTGGCATTATTTTTCTTTATTAGGGTGTTTTTTAAATTATATTTAAGTAGTTACCATTCAACAAAGCAATTCATGAATACAGTGCCAATGTTACCTTTTCAACAATTGCACCCACCACCCCCAATCCACTGCTTCCTTCACTTTTTCTTAACTTGCTTCTTAATCTGTGTCACATTTTTTTCACCCCCTCTCCATCAAGTGGAATAAAAGAATAAAGGAGGAAGGATGCAGGCAAGAATTCATTATACACACCACAGAACTAAGGAAAAGCAGGGAAGAAGTAGGTCAAAGAGGGATTTCTCTTTATTTCTTATTCCAATCCCTATTCTTAATACAGTACTTATTTATCTGTATATGTGTTTATTTTATTTATTAATCATATAGCCAACCTTTATGTTTTCCATTGTTTCCTGTACCTTAGATGTTTTTACTTTCTTCCAGAGTTGATTACCTTCACTCTGAAACAAATCCTTTTGATACACTTTTTTCTGTCTGAGGGTCTTTTAGTTCAATATCAAATGATATTTTCCCTCAAGTGTGACTAAAGGATTTGGAGTTGAGAAGGACCCATTGTACTGGTTGCTAGGAATAACTCTGCAGTCAGGGGTGTTATGATGTTAGCTTACAATGTTCCCAATTAGGAGATATTACACTTCCAGAAATGATGAATGTCAGGATGCCTCCATCCATTTCCACTAGTAAAACATGTTCTCTGGCGCATCTCTTCATCCTGGCCTCCTGGCTCCAGTGTTTGCTGTTGGAAAATCTCCTGTCAATCTTCTGGAAATTCCTGTGGGAATTCCTATCTACAACATGCACCAACTACATTGAAAATCTTATTTTCTTAGGTTTGTTGCAGTAATTATCCTCTCTTGTTGTAGACTTCTTAATGTATCTTATAGTTTTATGATTCTGGAATTTGTATGTATGTGTGTATTGTTTATAGGCATTATTCATCTTTATGTATTAGTTCTCAAAAATCCCCATCATATCAAATGTTACTTTTTATACATTATCTTCATTTAGATTTGAATTGGAAATTTTAGACTTCTGAAATAGTTGTATTTCTTACAGTATTTTATTATAAGACACCAATTTGTATTCTGAGCAGTTGATTTGATTTTGTCTTCAAATTTTATACTTTTCTCTACATGGCTACATACTTCCCTATAATTCATCATGAGTCATTTTTTTTTCACTGATTATGGATTTAATTTTGTGGCCATACTGGGGTTTTGAATTCAGGGCCTTGTGCTTGCTCAGCAAGCACTCTATCACTTGCATAATGTTGTCTGCTCCTTTTGTTTTAGATATTTTCCAAATGAAGTCTCACATTTGTTGTTCAGTGCCACCCTATAGCATAGTCTTCCAACCTTGGATTCTAGAGAAGCTAGGACTATAGGTATGGGGCAACACACCAACTCATTATTTAAGTGACAGTCTTGCTAGCCTTTTTCCTGGATAGCTTTAAGCATTAATCCTCTTATCTCTGCCTCCCAAATACTTGATATTTCAAGCATGTGACACTGGGCCCAACTTCTTAGGATTTTTTTATTGTTTTATTTAGTGCATAGTAATTGAACAATGTGAAGTGATCCATAATGGCATTCCATGAATGAATATAGTACAGTATAATATAGTATAGTTTTCCCTTTATATATAGTTTAATTTGTTGTTGTTGCTGTTTTGTTGTTGCAGTTGATGGGCTTGAACTCAGGTCTTTGGTGCTGTCCCTGAGCCAAATTGTGCTCAAGACTAGCACTCTACCACTTGAGCCACAGAGCTCCAGATTTTGAGTAGTTAAATGGAGATTAGAGTCTAAAAGTCTCACGGGGACTTTTCTGCTTGGTCTGGCTTTGAACCATGATCCTTAGATCTCAGCCTCTTGAGTAGCTAGAGTAATAGGTATGAGCCACCAGCACCCAGGCTGTTATACTTCAAAACAGATTATGAATACAGTGTGTCTTCATCAATGTTACCCTTCTAACATTCTCACCCATCCCTCTCTTCCTTAATTTTTCTTTTCTTTTAGGATATGCCTTTAATTTTTTGTCATTTAACAAAGCAATTTAGTATACAATGCATCTTGATATGTGTCATCCCTTCAAATTTTTCACACCCCTTCACACTACACCTTCATTTAGTTTCTTAATTTTGTGGGATATACAATGAATTCTTGTCTGTATTTCCCCCCCTCCCCCCTCCCCAGCCTTCATTCATTTATCTACTCCTCTCTCCTCGGCCTCACCCCCATATTGTAAGTATTTATTTCCTGGTATTTAGTTAGTTGGTCTTTGACTTAGTCTTTTTAAAGAGTTTTACTATTTGAGTTCTCCATAGACTCTATTATACTTGATAATTCATTTGTAACTGCTTACATACAATTCATTGTGTATACTTATAGATTAGGCACATTCTAGCTACAAAGATTGAGAGAAGTCATACAATCTTTGTTTCTCTGGTTCTGGGTTACTTCACTAAACATTTTTTCCCCAAATCTTTCTATTTCTTATGAATAGTGCAATATAATTCTTTCTGATGGATGAATAGGATTCTATTGTGTATATATTCCATATTTTCTCTATCTGTTTATCCATTTGGGGGCATTTGAGCTGAATCCATATCTTATCTATGGTAAATAGTGTTGCAGTGAACATGGTTTTGCTGGTGGCATTACTGTAGCCTTCTTTGTGTTCAACTAGAATACAAAGCAATTACTGAGTCACAAAGTTGTTCAACATTTAATTTTTTGAGGAACCTCTATACTGCTTCTCACTACAGTATCTGGACAAGTTTATGTTCCCGTCAACATTGTAAGAGAGTTTCCTTTTGATTCCATCCTTGCCAGCATTTGTTGTTAGTTTTCTTAATAATTGCTATTCTAACTGGGGTAAGATGGAATCTCAGTGTTGTTGTGATTTGCATTTCTTTTATGGCCAGAAATGTTGAACATTATTCTTCATTTACTTATCCTTTATTATTATCTTCCTTGAAATTTCAATTATCTCATAATATCTTTGTTCCTAAAAATTATACTTTATTCTTTTTTGTGCACATGACTGTTGATTAAGAGATTCTCTTCTTCCTGGTCATGTCTTGGTTGTGTTGTTTTATATCTCTAAACATTTTACTTGTAGTTATTGAACCTATTGTCATTGCTAATTCCATATTTGAAACTTGTGGGATTCAAATCAATTACCGTCTCTTTTTCAGCTCCCATGCTAGCTATATCTTTTTGCTATGTATGTGTCTCTATGTTCACATGCAC